ATGTAAGTTTCAGTGGCAGATTTTCCAAGTTTTGTGAGGAATTTGATGTTAGCACGTTGTTCTGCATTAGCACTCAGCATTATTCCGACGGAGCTCAGAAACACGATCCGCTTCTAACAATGGTCGCGGCCAGACTAACCGATGCACGTGAATGAAACTTTGTGTGACGGTAGAGGGAAGTCCAAGGGTCAATGCCCTACCCTCCTCTTCGTCAATGACGTGGCCGGAAATGAGTCATAAAAGTAATCCGGGTTCTTTATTGCCACACCTTGTATGTGGGAGTGGATGTATAGATCCATGTTTTCTTGACCGTGGCACCAGGTGGAGATGAGTGGTCAGGTTCCCTCCCCGTTTGCTTTACCTCAGGGAAAGAGCCCCCAGTATCTATTGAATATGAGGTTGGGTGTACCTCAGAGTTGGTCTGGATGCTGTGGAGGAGAGAAAATTCTTGATGCTACCAGGACTTGAACTCTGAACTCTCAGCCATCTAGCCTTTGACTGTGCTGGATGCCATGACAGGGTGTGTTTACTGGTTCTGAGACTACAGTGCAACGAATATAGCACCTCCAGATAAAGATCGACCCCTCCTTTTTCGAAGATGAAGCTCCATTTTGAAACATGTGCATGTCTAGCAGAGAACAAAAATTTTGGTCATGGATCTTGAGGAGACTGAAGCCAGGAATGACTGTGCTGGCGAAGGCCAGCAGCAATTAAAGTACCAACTGGAGAGTTCAGTCCATCAGAGGTGCAGGAGGTTGGTGTGAGATTGCCGCCGGCCTGGGAATTAGTTGTTAGACAGTCGCCGGCAAATAAGGATGTGAACATGGAAGCTGAAGAAGCTATGGCAGTGGAGGCCATTACCAACTGACAACTAGTGAAGATACAGCAGACTGAGAAGACTTAGTGCATGCTGTAGTGAATTTTAGAGTCTGTGAATCAGCGATAGCACTGTAGTTACTTGTAGTTACAATCTCTGAATTTAAATAAATCCAAGTGCCAGTCCAAACCCAATCTGTAGTCACTCATACACATGGCAGTATACATATAAACAGTATTTTTTACTCAGAATTACCTCAGGAATAACTAACTGATGTTAAGATATTGTCACGTGTGGGGGGTACGTGTGACGAAATGACGTGTTCTAGTTTGGATGATTGGATTTATTGACAGCTTGGTTACACGCACTTTCTCAATTACACTCTATTACAGCTCTATCACTGACTTACACACACAAGATCGTCTAATCCACTGTTTCACACACCGTCGCACACATAAAGTCCTCTACATCACACCTGACATCCTCACAGGCAACCTTGTATAGTCCTGGTTCCAGTTCGCTTGCTTCCGTCACTCTCAACTGCTAGACTTCAACTGACTACTCAATACTGAATTAACACTGATGAGAACTCTCGTTACGTAGCTTCTGCCCTGACCACACAGAAATCAGCCTATTGCCCAGCAACAGACTCCATAGACAACACATTGCTGCTCGGCAACAGATATCGGGTATTGTTGTCAGGCGTGTTTACCGAGTGTCACACAGCAACGGGATGAATGGGGGTATGTGACGTCACTTGCACTTCCTGTTGCGCCATCCAAGCGTTCACAGAATTGTTGCCTAGCAATGCGCTGATACAACCCACAACTATCATGTTGTGCGCGTGCCCCAAGGCCTCTGTGGCTTAACAGTTCCTGTATACACCCAATATGCCACAGTATAAAGTTATGAAACTTCCTCTATGGCATAGTATGAAATACATATGTATTAAATGTATAAATTCATTTTCTATGATAAATTATGGAGTTCTCTAGAATGGTGAGACATTAGCAATAGTAATGTGACTATTTGTTGCTACTGTTTCTAGATCTGAAGGCACAATATGCCGGAAAGAAAATCAAGATCTCTTCAGAACTGTATAAGAAAGGTTGTGTGACTAACCCAGAGGAAGGACTACTGGCAGCACAGAAAATCGGCTTCCCTGTGATGATCAAGGCTAGTGAAGGTGGCGGAGGGAAAGGTATCCGTAAAGTGGAAGCATCTGAAGAGTTTGCCTCTGCGTTTAGACAGGTATGTAAATGAGAGAAAAAGAAAGCAACTTATTAAATGTATGTGACTTTCAGCTTATTACACATTCTTTGCCCTTAGAACTGACACCTCTCTAGTTTGAGCTGGCATCACTGGAAATTGAGCATTGTCTCATATTTCCAGTTGAATTTGGTCAAAACTGGGGAATCTCCAGATTTTCATGCAACTTATGTTCCATTAGCTGGTTACATAATATAAATATTTTGAATTTTACAAGAGAGAGTCAGTAAATAGGTCACAAATGGAAGTAAAACAGCTGTAATGGACATAATAGGTTGTTTGTATGTACCACAAGGTAGTAGCACAGCCCGGCTTCATGAAACTTCAGGTAGCAGATGCAGATGCACATGTTCTGAGGCTGGTTTCACTGCTTGAGCAGTGTACTACTCGTACCGAAGAGCAGCTTTCTGTTGTGCGTTTTTTTTTGTGGGTGAAAGGGCTCAATGCAAAGGATATTCATAAATAAAAGTTTCCTGTTTATGGTGGGAAATGTTTATTGCATAAAGTGGTTCACAACTGGATTGAGAAATTCTCTCCGAGTTCGAAAGCTACAGATGATGCCCAACCAGGACGCTCTGTTGGGATTGTGACAGAAGCAACTATGCAGCAGATGGAAAAAATGAAGTTGTATCCATTTTGGTCCTTATTTGTGGTAGCAAAACTGGGCTCTTAATGAAATTTACAAGCTAAAAATTCAGTCTGTTTAAGGAAATTAAGGCCCACAATTGGGTTTATTCTCATTGCCCAGGTGACAAGTGGCAGTGTATGAAAATAACTTAAAATTATTAATCTGACACAGAAAGAAGGAGTGAGTGTCTGATGGAAACACCTCATAGGGATGGGAGGTAATTGAACACAAAAACTTAACTGGATGTAGCTGGCTCAGGATAGGGTCCAATGACACTGTTCCATGAACATTCAGGTGAATTTCTTCATCAACAGAATAAGTATAAACTGCTGAAGGAAGATGCTATATAATAGAGCTATTTAATTTTATTGGATGCAATATTTTTGTAAGGTTCAAGCAGAAGTGCCTGGGTCACCCATCTTTGTGATGAAGCTAGCCCGCTGTGCTCGTCATCTTGAAGTTCAGCTATTGGCTGACCAATATGGAAATGCCATTTCCTTGTTTGGGCGTGACTGTTCCATCCAGCGTCGTCATCAAAAGATCATAGAGGAGGCCCCTGCTGTTATTGCCGAACCAGAAGTGTTTGAGGACATGGAAAAGGTGATTCCTTGAATTGTTTTCTTTTAATAAATTTTGTTTAAGAGCACAAGACAAAGTCAGAATCCAATTTCTTTTATTTTAAACGGTAGATTATCATTTCCTGCTGTCTAAATTTCTGAAAGACTAACTTCAGTTCTGTGTTTTGTAATAGTCATGACCATTTATGCTTCATAACATTTTATTTCCCACAGACATTCATCACTGAACTGGGAAACTTGAAATTTGCATGTATATTGAGATTAAGAATGCATATTGTGTGTTTGTTTTATATTGTTTTATTTGTAACATTAAAAGCTATCCTTGGTATAATTTTATTCTGCATAAATTGTGTAAAAGTATACCAGTAGCTGTAAAAATATCTAATAATTATTCTTTTGAAAACATGTAGACACTCCATGGATATCCAATTTTCTAGGTTTGGCACATTGCTATATCATTTTTTCCTTAGACCCCCATTGAATTAGGTTTGGTTTTTTTACATATATTTCATCATTAGAAGGTACAAGGATAGTTCCCATTTTTTTAGTGAGATCAAAATAAGATACTTTATGTTATAGTCATGCAAATGCAGTAATTCATTAGTATATCAAAGAAACTTTGTTTTGAAATTAGAACGAGCATTTGTAACATATTGAATGTATATAGGCTGCAGTTCGGCTGGCAAAAATGGTAGGCTACGTGAGTGCAGGGACAGTGGAGTACCTGTATGATACAGATGGTAATTACTTCTTCTTGGAGCTGAACCCTAGACTGCAAGTAGAGCACCCATGTACTGAGATGGTGGCAGATGTGAACCTACCAGCTGCACAGCTGCAGGTGAGTCGGCAAGTGACCATATTCTATCATTTCATAATATGGAACTGATAAAGAGTATTACCATAAATGTGGTAATAGCTCAGTGTGCAGTTACAAGTCAAGGCTGCTAGTTACTTCCTGGGTGCAACTGAACATTTATGCTTCTACAGGGAAGTTCTTATCTTTGTTGATCAGTTCATGGCAACGGTGCATCGATGGCTAGGATGCGAATTCTCCAATTTTTTTCATTTTATCTTAAAGATATAGAATATCTGGTCTTCAGTGATCTGTTACATTGAAATCCACACTAGTGATTGTTCTAGTTTGTCAAATGCTGTTACTTCCAGAATCATAAAGTGAAGAGTCATTGGAATCTTCTTGTTCACTAGCACTTCAAGATTATTGTATACAGTGCAGCTACATTTGAAACCCAGGCCACTCTTTCTGGCAGATAATCAAACAGTTCTGGTATTACAATACTTCTGAAGCAATAATGAAAATTGAAAATTCTTTTGGAGTTTTGGAAAAATGTAATTTAACTTCTTCAGACTTAGAGTGCACTGTTAAATGAAACAACTGGCAAGATTTTACATGTCAGAAACTGCTTTTTAGGGAACCATCTATACCTACACAAAGTGTACAATATTTCTGTACTTCTGGGTTCAGAATTTAATACAGCAACACCTTAACCTTAAACACAGGCAGTTTGATACAACTGACCAATACATCTTCAGAGTTAGAAGGTGCTTGGACCTGGAGAGATAAAACTAACAATGGAAATGATAAAATTATGGAATTTGTACTGTTTACAAATTATTATTAGGATAAATGAATTGTGGTGGCTGCATTGGTTTCATATGGTACACAAATGGGATCCAACACTGAATGCAAAACTGCTAGTACAAAATGTCAAAGAAAAAGATGGCTGAGATGCAGATGTAAGGATACTGTTAATCTTCAACATACCAGATTAAAATTCTTCTCATAGCCCAATTTAAATTATGAAATATAATTAAAAATGCCCCACCCCTTCTAAAATGCACATTTCTTCAAAACCATCAGTGATAAAAATAAATATGAAAGATGTTGAATGATTTGAATGAAGAAGGAGGAATAGGGTGGGGGCAGAGTGACATGGTCAGGACACGTCTCTATTTCAAGAAACATAGAGACTCCCCCCCTCCCTCTTTTCTTCTGAACATTGTCAAAGTTTGTAACAAGTATAAAACCAAAGTTGCAAGGCAAACTGACATCAGAGTCATAAATGGCTACAGATGATGAGACAGTAACTGTTCCAAGTAATGATAAACATTACAGGATCTTAAAGTAAACAAAACATAGGTTACAGTAATGCAGAAGTTTCATTTCTATAATATGATATATGCAAAAGACTCATGTATGAAATTGCTCTAAGCTAAAGAAAGATGAAAACATCAGGTGGCATGTGTCCCCCATGTGAACCCTGTGGTTGCCCCACACCACCATACTATTCTCATAAATTTGCTTTGGTGTGATAACTGTTAAAGCTTGTGATAACACACAGGCCAATGATACTTTTTTACTTCAGTAAGGTGAACGAGTTGTGAATGGGACAGATACAGTACAGCAGTTGCTTTTCTTACGTGGTCAATGCTGCTTTCTCCCCAGAAGTTTATTGTTATAATGGAATCATGGCTTAACAAATAGGTGTCTGCCATTCTGTGATTTTGCTACAAAACACACTATTGTAGTCCTCAACAATTGGAAGTTCTGTACCATTTCCATGCTCGCCATAGAAATCTTTATCTTACTGTGAATGCTTGCACACTTATTTGTGGTTTATGAGGGGGTACCCAAAAGAAACCGAACTTATTTTTTTTTAACTTATTTATTCAAATTTTAAGCACAAACCTTCAGTCCCCTTCAAAGTACTCTCTACTTACACTAATACACTTGTCTAGTCTTTTATTCCATTTTTCAAAACATTGTCTAAATTCATCTTTTGAGATGCTTGATAGCGCCTCCGTCATTTTTTTCCTTCACCTCAGCAACATCAGCAAAACGCTTGAAACAAAAAAAAGTTTTGATCATTTCGGGACTCTTCTTTCAAAGCACAGCATGCTTCCACGCGACCTTGTTTTTGTTCAGCAG